TTACAGGGCGGTGTCGGGATCCAGCGGGGTGCCGTGATCTAGCTTGTCGATGCCCTCGGACTCGCGCTTGCGTGCTAACCGATGGAGAGGATCGTCCACTAGCCGCCAGCGCTGTCCGCTTCTGAAGAACTCCAGCAGGGCCTTGGCGGCGCAGTCCTTCGTAAGACCGTCGGCTAGCATGGCATCGCTGTGAACCCAGCGAATATGGAGCCCTGTCTGCTGCTTCTGCTGCCTGATGCCCAGGCACTCGATACCGGTCCTCTTATCTCGAACACCCAGTCCAGCAGACTCGCTCTTCTCGATGGTTTCGTACCCAGACTTCCCAACTGTGACCAGGACTCCAGGGCAGGTTGAGATGGCGTCGTTCACGGCCTGCTTGTTGGTGTAATCCACGTGGCCGCACTCTAGCTCGTAGATGAGTAGTTGCACGTAGCTGATGTCGTCGAGCGTCTCCGTCATCATCTGCACCTCGGCACTCGCGCTGCTTCTGGCAACGCGTGGCAACTTGCATGATCTCCAGGAAATCGGCGCCACTGCCTGTGTGGATCCTTCTAGAAACGATGACGGTGCCAGCACGATCATCTCACCTCCTTGGGATTATCCTGTGATCCAGGCTGCCCATGCGGCGTCGCCCCAGCCAACAACTGCCGTGTCGTTCGCGGCGCGGATGAGCTTGTAGATCTTCTGAATCGTGGAGACCGTCGCGGTAGGATTCTCGGCTTGTAGTAGTGAAACTTCGGCGCTGAGCCACGGTGCTGACTGCTGCGCTCTCCAGCCCACGTTACCAAGCCGTCCCCGTAGATCAGAGCGTTCGCGATCAGAAACTCCGTCAGTAGGCTTCCTGCCGCGCTTGGCTGGAATCGGTTCCACGTTCATGCTGTAGGTGTCCTGGGCGGGGCTGCAGGTGAAATGATTGTTCTGGCGGATGCTGACTCCACATTGAACGGAAGCCTTGCTCTCGCAGGGTGTCCATTCGAAAGCTTGTTGAATCTCCTTCCGCTTCCGCAAGATGGACTTGTTAGTGTGGTCTCCGGCGATCGTCATGTCGTCTACGTGCAGAATGACCGTACCGATCAGCTTGCCGTCGCCGTCCCTGATGACCCAGACGCGGGGCTCGCACTGGATGGCCTCAAGCTTGAGCTTGTTGAGAGACTCCTTGAAATCTAACCACCACTTCCGAGGTGCGTGTACGAAGCCGTACATCGGCTTGAGGAACCGCAGCACTTCGCCCTCATTGATGCCGAAGGCCTGGCGAACGTCCGTGGGCGGGTCGGCGTAGATCTTCCGCTTCTACTCCTCCTCATCTCCCTCTTCCTCCTCCTCCTTCTCCTCCTCCTCCACCTCCTCCTGCTCCTTCTCTTCCCCCTCCTTCTCATCCTCCTCTTCCTACTCCTCCTCATCATCCTCATCATCATCAGCAGCATCAGCAGCGTCGACGTCATCATCATCAGCAGCAGCATCACCTTCATCAGCGTCATCATCATCGTCAGCATCATCATGGTCATCAGCAGCAGCATCATCCCAATAATCCTCTTCATCAGCATCATCGGTACCATCAGCATCATCATCACCACCACCATCATCATCATCATCATCATCATCATCATCATCAGCAGCAGCAGCAGCAGCAGCAGCACCATCAGTATCATCATAATCATCATCAGCAGCATCAGCATCACCATCAGCATCGTCAGCCCCCTCCTAGTCCTCCTCCTGCTCCTCCTCCCCCCCTCTGCCTCCTCCTCCTCCTCCCCTCTGCCTCCTTCATCCTCACAAGCATCAGCATCACCCTCATGTCCAGCATCAGCATCCTAATCAGCAGCATCATCAGCAGCATCATCCTCATCAGCAGTACCATCAGCATCATCAGCAGCATCAGCATCCGCATCAGCATCAACAGCACCATCAGCATCAGCAGCAACGTCATAATCGTCAACAGCAACATCATCAGCAGCAGCATCCGCATTACCTGCATGGTCGTCGTCCTCCTCCCCCCCCCTCCTCCTCCTCCACCTCTTCTACCTCTTCCTCATTCGCCCCCTCCTCCTCCTTCTCCTCATCCTCCTCCTACGTATCCTCCTCCATCTCCTCCTCCTCCTCCTCCTCCTCCTCCTCCTCCTCATCCCCAACCTCATCCTCATCGTCAGTCTTCCCATTCTCCTCCTCATCATCCTCCTCCCCTCCGCATCCTCATCCTGCTCCTCATCCCCCTCATCCACTTTTTCCCCCTCCTCCTCCTCCCTCCTTCTCCCCCTCCTCCTTCTCCTGCCCCTGCTCCTGCTCCTGCTCCTCCCCTCCTCCTCCTCCTCCTCCTCCTCCTCCTCCTCCGCCTCCTCCTCAGTCTCCTCGTCTTCCTTCCTCTTATTCCTCCTCCGCCTCCTCCTCCCTTCCTCCTCCGCTTCCCCTCCTCCTCCTCCTTCTCATCCTCCTCCACCTCCTCCGCTCCTCCTCCGTCTCCTCCTCCCCCTCCTCCCCTCCTCCTCCTCCTCCTCCTCCTCCTCATCATCATCATCATCAATCATCATCAGCATCCTTCCTTCTAGCCCTTCTACTCCTACTCCACAGCAAGTGCATCGCCTCCTCCTCCTCCTCCTCCTCCTCCTCCTCCTCTTTCCTCCTGTTTCCTGTTCCTGTTCCTCCTCCTCCTCCTCCTCCTCCTCCTCCTCCTCCTCCTCCTCCTCAACTGCTCCGGCCTCCTCCCTCCTCGTCCTCCTCCTCCTCCTCCTCCTCTCTCCTCCTCCTCCCCCTGTTCCTCCGCATCCTCCTCGTCCTCCTCTTCCTCCTCCTCCTTCTCCTCCTCTCCTCCTCCTCCTCTAACTCCTCCAACTCCTCTTCCTCCTCCTCCTCCTCCTCCTCCTCCTTCTCCTGCTCCTCCTCTTCCTCCCCCTCCTCCTCATCCTCCTCCTTCCTCCTCATCCTCCTCCTCCTCCTTCCCTCCTCCTCCTCGGCCTCCTCCTCCTCCTCCTCTCCTCCTCCTCCTCCTTCCTCCTATCCTGCTTCTGCTCCTGCTCCTCCACCTCCTCCTCCTCCTCCTCCTCCTCCTCGCTATCTTGTCGTGAGTGGGGCGGGGGATGATGGCGATCGCGAGGGAGCGCCGGCAGGCGCGGTGTTGGGACCTGCCTTGCAAGGCGCCCCTCCGCCGCCTGGCGAAGAGGCTTTGGGCCTACTCACACTCTGGCGCGCCCGCGGCCACGTCTGCCTGGAGGCCCTGGTGACTGGACCAGATGGGTCCCCTCAGAGATCCTTAGCTGCCTGCACGAATTGCGGTTCGGTTGGTCACCCAGGGCCGTCCTGGGGCAGGATAGCTCTTGTGTCGAATTGCCTCGATGTCCGCAATGAGGGTCGCGAGGGGCACTTGGCTTTGATTTTGCATGGCAAGCACCCGTCCCGTCAGAACGGGCGTGTGGGGGCGGCCGGTGCCCTCTCTGTTGCCTCTCGGGAGTTCTTCGCCGCGAAGCTCGGTCTTGGTGGTGCACCTCCCCATTGGACCCCCTCCCAGCACTGTTCACGGGTGGCCCTTTTTGGATTCCCCTCCCGCGCCGAGGCAGAGAGCCTCGGGCAGCGGGTCCTTGATAGAAGGAAACGCGAGGCGAGTGCCTCCGAACTTGGAGAGTTCGTCGAGGATAGTTCACTCGTTTGTCAGTTTCTGCATGCCGAATTGGATGGCCTCCTCGGTTGGCTATGGTCCTCCTCCTCCTCCTCCTCCTCCTTCTTCTCCTCCTGATCCTCCCCCCCTCCTCCTCCTTCTCCTCCTCCTCCTCCTCCTCCTCCTCCTCCTCCTCGTCAGTAGCAGCATCGTCGTCACCATCTCCTGATCTTGCTCCAGATCGTCCTTAACAGCATGGGCAGCATCATCAGCATCACCACCGGCAGCATCAACATCATCGTCATCTGCATCACAGCCATCTTCAACATCAACAGCATCATCAGCATGATCATCAGCGTCAGAAACATCATCATCATCATCATCATCATCATCATCATCATCATCATCATCATCATCATCATCATCATCATCGGAAGCAGCAGCATCATCATCATCAGCATCAGCAGCAGCAGCATCATCAGCAGCAGCAGCATCGTCATCAGCGTCATCATTAGCAGCAGCATCCTCATCATCAGCAGCAGCATCATCAGCATCATCAGCAGCATCATCATAATCCTCACAATCATCGTCATCATCAACAGCATAAGTATTATCATCAGCATCGGCAGCAGCTTCAGCATCCGATTCGGCATCCTCATCATCATCAACAGAATCATCAGCATCATCATCAAGATCATCATCAGCAGCATCATCACCATCAGTCATCAACATCATCATAAGCATCAGCAGCATCATCATCATCAGCAGCAGCAGCATCATCATGCGCAGCAACATCAACAGCATCATAGCCTGAAACATCATCAGCATCAGTATCATCAACACCCATATCATCGTCATCGTCATCAGCCTCATCACCACCACCGTGGCATCACCATCGTCATCTACATGAACACAACCAGAATCATCATCATCAACTGCAACACCATCAGCCTCGTCAGCATCATCATCACCATCAGAAGCGTCATCATCATCATCAGCAGCATCATCATAATCATCAGCATCAGCAGCATCATCATCATCATCGTCATCATCACCATCAGCATCATCGTCATCATCATCGACAGCATCATCAGCATCATTATCATCCTCATTGCCATCATCGTCACCATCATCATCAACAGCATCATCATTGGCTTCCTCCTCATCATCCTGCTCCTCCCCCTCCTGCTCGTCCTCCTCCTTCTCCTCCTCCTCCTCCGTAGCCATTTTGGCTCAAGATGCAAGGTTCCCTTGGGGCCAAAACGGATACCGCTAGTCCGCGGCTGCTTTCACCCTTCACGGAGGTCCCTTGCACCTCAGAGCGCGATCAGAGGCTCCAGTCTGTGGAGTGCGTTCCTGAGGCAAGGGGTTCGAGAGCCTCCAATCATCCGCATCCATGGCGCCGGCGCCGTGGCACTCCCCGAAGCTGGACTGGATGTGCAAGTTCTGTGTGCACAAGAAGTCTGGTCTTCCTCTGGCCAACTGGGGCAGCAATGATCGTTGCTTCATGTGCCATGTCCACAAGTCCGCCAGCTTCAAGTGTGTGCGCCCAAGCAAGTCGCCTTCCTTCAGCACTGGGGGCAAGGACAAGGGAGCCCTCAGCAAGCTGGTGCGTCGCCTCGAGGAGCTGGAGAGGGAGAGTGCCACCCTCAAAGGCGACGGGGGTGGAGGGCCGCCGCAGTCCGACACCACCAATGAGCCAGCCGAGCTTCGCGAGGAGATTGATGCGCTGGCCAAACATATCAAGTGGTTGGAGTCAACTAAAGGGGAGTGGGCAAAGGCCGCCTTGGCCGCAGCCCAGTCTCAGCTGGAAGTTGCCAAGGCCAAGCTTCACGAGAACAAGCCCCTGGGCGCGAAGCTTAGCGTTCTTTCGAGGAGAGTGGAGCAAGCCCGTAAGCAGAAGGAGAAGGCCATTGCAGATCGTGCCGTGGCCCAAGCAGCTCTGGAATCAGCACGGAAGGCATTGGCAGACGCCGACGCCCTCATCGCCGAGAAGATTCAGGCATGCGAGAAGCTGGAGATCGAGCTGTCAAACCTCGCCCAGAGGGACACGGACGCTGTCGAGACGGTCGTCGACGAGGTCAAACTTGAGGACGTTCTCTCAAGTATGGAAGGCATCAGTGATCCGAAGAAGGCCGCCCCAGCTCTAGTGGCAACGCTCAGTACAGGTGGCGTCGGGTTACTCGCTGAGCCAGCGCGGGCCCCACGGAGAGAGCCTGCCCCCTGGGGGCCAGACAGGGAAGACATCGAAGATCTGAGCAAACTGGTCAAAGATTACGCGGGGCCGTCCGCCGAGGAAAGCATTGTCAGAGCACGTGCACGGTCCTTGGCAGCAGGAGGCTTTCATCCGCATTGATTGCCTCCCTGCCGCGAAGGTGGCAGACCAAGGGGGCAGGAGATGCAAGTCAAAGTACCGCAACAAGTTCGTCATTAAATATGGAGGGTTGGATTTTCCTGATTACTCGGGGCTCAGGCTTTCAGAGTACAAAGGCGAAGACGACCCAATCGACAAATCATGGGTAAACACTATAGTGAGCTGTTGGGGAGGCAAGTCACACGCCGACCTGGTGCAGCAGCTCAAGTGGGATGCGGCTTCGCATCTATCAAGTTCCATACCTGTACCTACCACGCTGTCCTTGGTCACGTACAACAGCAATGCCTGGAGCACGATGCAAGGTTTTTCGGAATGGACGGTGCTGGACAGAGCAGACCAGCCCGACGTGATTTTCGGCCAGGGGCACAGGCTGCGCAGCGGCGACCAGCTGAAGTCGGCACAAAGCTGGGCGCGAGAGCGTGGCTACAAGTTCCTGGCCAACGGGCGCGCCGTGACGGGTAAGAAGATCACGGAGACATCCAGCGGGGTTGGCATCCTCACATCAGGGCATATCGCCAGCATAGGGCACCCCCCGAACAACGAGTTCGACAAATCCAGGCTCACCTTCCAGCGCGTCACGCTGGGAGTTATGCAGGTGCGGCTGGTCTCCATTTGCGCCATTTGCAGTGTAGGTGTGGCAGGAAGCGTCGAATTGATTGCCTCGTTGCTCGAGGCGGTGCGCGCAGCCTGTCCGCCTTTCATCATAGCAGGATATTGGAATATTGAGGCATATTTTTTTGGCAGAGACTCGTTTTTTTTTTTTTTTTTTTTTTTTTTTTTTTTTTTTTTTTTTTTTTTTTTGCGGGCTGGTTTCCTGAGTCAGATGCATGCAAAAGTTGTGCGCAGTGGGAAGCCAACGCGTCATGACTCACATTATGATTTTCTGTGATCAGTGATGTGCTGCTTTCTTTTGTCAAGTCCATTTCGGTTATGGACGACGCCCCCGCTGGGCCCCGCAGGGCGGTCAAACTTGTCCTGGGAGGGCTTGGGGGACAGAACTACATTTACCGACGGGTCAAACCTGACCCATTTCCAATGCCTCAGACGGGGCAATCCTTTGTCCCACGAGACGTCTCGAGCTGGTCAGGCTTTGACCAGAAAGAGGGGGAGTCGGTGGACAGTCTGGCGCGACGCTGGTTTCAGTCTGCTGAGCTCTATTTGCGCATGTGCTTGGCCATCCCAGCTTCGGACAGGCCGCGTCACTGTGGAAGAGAGCTCGGGCGTCGACTGGAAAACGTTCCCCTCGTGTGTGAATGGGGGGAGAGCCTTCGCAGAAAGGCGCGCCCCCCCCCCCCCCCCCCCCCCGACTCAGAAGTGGCTCAGCATCAGGCGTTTAACCATGCAATGGCTCCGCGCTTCAGACACCGCCGCCTCTGCCCAACAGGAGTCGAAGGCCAGTGCCGAGCGTCGTCGTAGAGAGCTGGGGGACGCGTGGAACACGGGTGGTGCGGCGGGTGTCGGAGGAGTCGGTTTCAGGATCAGCGATTGTGAATCCTTTTTTGCAACAGCTTGCGAGCGACGAGCAGAAGGGAGAAGCTAGCAAATTTGTTCAAGATTAAGTGCTTGCGCACACGGCTGCAGACGCAGCCGCCGCCAGAGCCAGCTGGAGAGCTTTTTTTGTTTTCGGAGCTCGACTTTCAGAATGGCGCCGGTTTGGCGCACCGTTTTTCTAAGGGCCCCAGGGGCGCCGACCCTTCTGATCAGGACTCCAGTGGGCTCCCTGTTGTAGGACATGCGGCCCTCCAGGCCATGCTGGGTGAATGGGTGAGCTTGTGGGTTGTGCCTGGGCGCGAAAGTGAAGCTCGCCCGCTCACCTGGTCGGTTGAGGATGCACCGCCGCCCCCTAGGATGGAGATTCACGGGGCCAAGGCGGCGCTGCAGACTTTCAGGGCTAAGACAGCGCTGGGATGGGATTGTTTCCACCCGCGCTGGATTGAGCATCTGCCTGTCGAGCTGCTAGAGTCCCTCTCTGCACTGCTGCGCCCCTGGGAAGACAACCCAGAGGACACAGCCATGTTGCCAACACTCATTGTGTTCCTTGCGAAGCCCAAAGGAGGAGTGCGCCCCATAGGACTCCTCCCTCTTTTCGGTCGCATCTGGTCGCGTCTGAGGCACTCAGAAGTGGCCAAATGGGAGGGCACCTTCGGGGGCAGTTTCTTTTGGGGGTCCTCGCCCGAAACGTCGCGCGACAAATCGGCCTGGATCCACGACGTGTTGGCGAGCGTTCCCCCCGTTTATAACGTTATCAGTGTGAGTGCGTTTGTAGACCCCAGGAAATTCTATGAAACGATCAGCCACTCTGAATTATTATGCGCTGCTAGAGACACAGATGTCCCCACCAGGTTGTTAAAACCACTGCGCTGCATGTGCAGAGGCCCATGAAGGGCCACATACCAGAGATCGACGTCAACTGAACTTCGAGCCAATGGAACAGTAATAGCAGGATGTTCTTGTGCAACTGGCCCGGCTAAATTGATGACTATCAGGACACTGAGACACATGGGAGTCAGATGTCCCACGGCGCGGATCAAGAACCTCATCGACGACATAAGCCTCCACGCCACCGGAGGCAGACTTTCAGTCACCAGGGAAATGAAATACGCCCTGAACTACCTCCTCGTGGGCCTCCAGAAGAAGGGCCCCCCGATCTCTTGGGACAAGATGGGGGTTCTCTGCAGGGACAAGGAGTTGTTTTTGGAGGTATGTGGGGAGCTCTCGGACCCCTGGCCAGTGAACACCCCACCTGAAGCACGATCAGCACCACAGGGACATAGGAGGAGATGCTGTGAATGGTCGGTTTCGCAGAATTGGGACCCAGTTGAAAAGGATCCAGGAGGCCATGAAGAAGGGGGATCGCATCCAGGCCTTACAGGGCCTCGGGGTTAAAAGATGTGCGGCCCATCGTGCTGGTGTGCTTTCCAAGAGCCTCTGGGGATGCAGCATTGCAGGGGCCCCCAATGGGCGAATCCAGCGGCTTCGGATGTCCTTCCTCAACGCCGCGGGAAGGTTCAAACCAGGGGCCCATGTAGGCCTTGCATTGCAATTCTCAGAGAACGGGTGGAGATCAGACCCGCTCGTCATCGCGACCGCGGATGCCATGCAGACGTTCGTCACGACCCTCGCGGCTGGCATGGTCTCCAGGAATGTGGTAAATGGCCTCATCGTGGATGCGCGGCCCTGGCTGAAAGAGCGCCACGCTTGGAAAAAAGTCAAGAACCCCATCTCAGCTCTAGCATTATCGCTCCACAGAATTGGCTGGACGCTGGAGGACGCAACTACGGTAAGAGATGATGAGGGAATAGTCTGGGACGCCTCTCACCATTCGGCAGAGCTCGTCGCAGACATGGTCAAGAAGGGAGTGCAGAGACACATAAGCCGAAATGTTCTTAGAGGATTACGCGGTGCAGATGAGGAACCTAGGCTGGGGGAAATATCGTGGGGGCCACTTCAGGCGGCAATGAAGTCAAAGACACTCTCCCCACATGAGAGGCGGTCTCTTCGTGACCTCTGCTCAGGAGAACACTGGTGCCAAGCCAGAGTTGCTCGAGCTTTCCCAGACCAGAGTCACCTATGCAAGCGCTGTGGCATAGCGCCAGGAACTTTACTCCAGTTTTTTCAGCTGCGACGCCTACGCAAGCCAAAGACAGATTCTGATTCCTGATATCATACGCAAAGCGGCATTGGAAATCAACAGAGGGAGCCCAGCGGTGCAAGAGAAGCTTGCGAGAGGAATCCTGCAAAATCCTGGTCCGGATTTTGCCTATCTGCCGCGTTCCTCAGCACGCGACTTCATCGACGTCGACAACGCTGGAGTGGTGACAGTTGCCGACGGGTTCGTGTTCGTCGACGGCACCGGTTTCCACGCCAACATTCCAGAGCTCAGAGTTGCAGGCTGGGCAGTGATCGCCTTTGGCAGTGAGCGTCGTCGAGTCGGACGTTTCTATGGTACAGTACCAAAGCAGATCGGGCCGCTACAGGTGGCGAAAGATGGAGAAGACTACGCAATTTATCAAGCTAGCCGACTTGTGCTAGGAACGTGGGCGCTTCTCTCAGACTGCAAGAGCTCACCATCGTGCTGTTTCAACTTATCGTGGGCCGCGGGATCCAAGTGCGCACGGGCCCATATCTGGAAGCTGACTAGGCTGAGGGAGGACTTCAGTGACCAATGTTTCATGCACGTTAAAGCTCACGCAGCTAGGAGAGACGTTCGTGAAAGGGAACATCTCGCACTTTCAAATGGACGGCAACGGGGAGGCGGACTCCTGGGCCAAGCACGGAGCAAAGCATATACTACCTTTAGAGCAACTGATAAGATTTGTGAACGGTTGCCGCAGATTTTATCGTACCTCGCTGGAATATCTGGCGAGATTTGAAGTTTGGTTCTACTCTCAGGAGGAACAATTTCTGGATTACTGGTTTCCAGTGGCAGATGATGACGAAGAAAGGATCGAGCAGGCGTTGCGTATGGAAGAATCGTCAAAAGAGCCTTGGTTTGTGGGCAAGCATGCCCTGTATGAATACAAAGCTGTGGGTCTGGACTACTGCCTAGTGTTTTGCACGACGTGCTGCAGGTACTTCAACTTGGAGTCGCACAAAGGTCTGGACGTGACGTGCCCTGGGCGGTCGGTGTCAGGACGTGGAGTTGAAAACACGCGACATTTCGAGAATCTCAGACACCCGCAAAGTTCAAAGAAGCACGTGAAATTGGACGGCCCGTCTCGGCCATCGTCAGAGACGAGGAAGACGATGTGCAAGGTCAAACAGTGGATTGATCCGTTGGTGGACACGGTTGTAGAGAGACCAGCGGCTGCATCACCTGCTGCCGTCGGCGACTCCAGATACCTCGATGTGCCCAGAATCTTACGTGGATATGGGCTTTCATATGATGTAGTGCAGGAGCTGGGTCAAACTGGACCCGATTCAGGCTCTGAGGATGGCAGCGATGACGGACTTTGTAGTTGACAGCTGGGCCGATTCAGGCTCGGCTTTCAAATCCTTCCTAGGGCAGGTTCATATGTCGCCAGGCAGGTGCAGGCCGGCCAGGCCCCTTGGGATTGCAGCGTGGCTGGCCCTTGGGCACCCTAAGTGCTGGCCTGCATCCAGCCAGTTTTGCTGCATGCAGCTCGAACATGTTCGAGCTGGTCCACGTGTGGGTCGGCACGGCCCTCTTCCTCAGTGGCCACCTGGGCTCGCAGGGCCACCAGGAGGTCGGCCTCGCCCCGCTGTCGCTGGGCGTGCTGTGCGTGGGGCTCCACGCCATGACAGGCTTCGTGCACGTGAGCACGGGCCTGCCGCAGGCCCCGTGCCCCCTGGCCGCTCGGCCGCCTTGCCAGGTCCGACTGGCTCTCCCCCCCCCGCCTCGGCGCATGCAACGCGGTTCCTGGCCCTTTGGGCTCCGTGGTGTACGCGCTGGGGAGGGGGGCGGGGGGGCTAGTGGGCCCTCCGCCCGCCGCCGCGGGCCGACCCAACCGCCTCTCGGCTGCTCGCTCGCTCCTCCTCCTCCTCCTCGTGCTCCCTCGGCCCACAGAGGGACCCAAGAGAGGCATCAGGAGAACGCTCCGAAAAGCAGCCAAAAGGCACCAGGAGGGCCCCAAGAGGGCGCAC